CCCTAAATGAATGTGTAGTTTCATGAAACTTCTATTTTTTGTCATTTATGACTTCTATTTTGCTAGCCCTAGATCTAGCTTCTTAAATTGTCATCACGTCCAGAAAACTCCTACACACATGGTCCATATAGGACGTGCAGTGAAGTCAAAAAAGTCTGCTACGCCTCTTCATTATCTTCAGACAGTCACATACCTCCAAACCCCATTTTTCTTGTCCTTTTCCATAATTCACTAAAACTCTTTTGCATTTCTTGCCAGCTAGCCATGTACCTTAAAATTTGTGTAGCTCGGAAATTTTCATATATAATTACAAAATCATGAGTCTTCTTTCGCCTTATTGACAGAAAGGATGTAAATATAACATGTTACATAACTACCGGACATGAATAACGATTACTTGGCCTTTTGTCATGTAAATAAAAGGAAGCAAAAGCATGAGATCACAACAACTAGGGACGAAAGTTTTGAAATCGTGATTACATTAATTAAGTTGCCTTTCTTATAATTTGGATTGTGAAAGATGGTGCAGGGAGCTGTAACAAGAGTAGATGAGGAGGAAGGTCATATGAGGAAAATTAAGACCAGAATGCAGGGACAAAAGAGTCAAGAAGCTGAAGAAAATGTTGAGGCTAGCAGACATGAAAATTAGTTAACAACCAAGGACATATGACATCACCTCATGGAGCTAACGCTGGAGGAAAGGAGAAACGTGTGAGGCAACCAAATGCACGTTTGAGAGACTATATTTGAAATGGAATTAGTTATATGGCAGAGGGTGGGGTAGGAGAGAGGTAGGCAATGATTGGGAAATTATTTTTCTCTTTCTTGGTGTAATTTTGCTTTTTCATTACTGAGCTACTATACTTGTTCTATCTTTCATTTTCTGTATTTTTTTAAGCTTTCTTGTAATTGGAAGTGCAATATGAGACACGCCTTCGTTTCTTATTATTCAAGACATTATCATTTATGTTTTTGCCATTCTTTTGTTATTGTTAAATTCCTCATTGTTCCATTTGGTGCTTTTATCACCTTCACCATGATTGCGATACATCTGCACCTAAGCTTTCTCAAATTCTATAAATCCTCGTGAAATGCTATCGTGACCAAGCACGTGAGATGACAGAGCTGAGAAATGAATTTGAAGATTTCAAAGCAAATCTTCAAGGTGGGGGCTAAACTCAAAGGGTTTTACACATCCGGAACGTGAAGCTGGATTTCCCTAAATTCGACGGATCTGAGGTCCTTCAATGGATTTTCTGTGCGGAGCAGTTCTTCGAGTATTATAATACCCTGATGAGCAATGCATTGTGATTGCAGCAGTCCACTTTGAGAAGAATGTAGTGTCGTGGTACCAAATGATGCAGAGAATCAGTCCAATTATTTCTTGGAACACATTGGTCAGGTCACTCGAACTTGAATTTGGTCCTTCTTCGTTTGATTCACATAGATCAACACTTTTTAAACTCACACAAACAGACTCAGTAAACGATTATTATGTTGAATTTACTAGCCTTGCTAATCGTATTTATGGCGTTAGCGCAGAAGGTAAAGGTCCTTTGGGAGGCAGGAGAAGACTAACATGGAAAATGTTGTGGATCCTGGCAGTAGAGGGAGATCCACTTCATAAGTAACATAAAAATTTCTCCTTGTAATTTTGAAAGGACCGAAGAACCTTTTCATGAGTTTACCCGCGGTAGTGCCTGTCACCGAGGACTAATGATGGGGCCTAAGGTGAATGTAAACCAAATCATCTACTGTTGCACATCTCGACGGTGTTGGTCAGCCCACTTATTCATAGTTGATTGTGCCTTTTGCAAGTTAGAGGCAAGCTTTTGAAGAATCTCATCATGAGTAAAGAGTTTTTGTTGCACTACTGCATTCGATGTCTCTTCTGAAAGTAAAGGAGGCATGAGTGGAAGCTTGCGGCCAAACATAATGTTGAGATTGTTGATAAGAAGAGCACTGGTTTAGCTGAACCTACAATCTCAAAGCTTCTGGTTTTTGATGATGACGACATAATTAATAACACATGTGATGTTTATGTGTTACATGTTCTATTGCTTATATGCTATATGTTTTAATCAATGTATAAATCTGTTTAAAGCATTGAGAACATGATTGTGTTTTTACATTGCATTTCACTGTGCTATATAATTGATTTTATTGGTGAATGCATGTCTGATGTTTTATAGAAAGAAAACCACAAGCACTTATGTTGAACTTTTAATTGTGTGGCAAAACAACAGTTTTAAATCGACTTCATTATAGGGTGAGTCAATTAAAACTTGTGACTTTGCACAAACTTTTTCAAAGTGTACTGTGAGGATTTTCAAAGAGGAAGTTTTTCAAAACTTTGTTTAACTGTGTTACATAGTCGATTATATGCAACTTGCATTAGACTAAGTCTGTTACAGTTTTGAAATTCTGTTAATGCTTGTGTTAAATGTTACAACGGCTATATTTTTAAATATGTTGACCAAGCATTTATTGTGATTCGACTGTATTAATTGTACATTCAATTAACTGCATTGATTGCTGTTAATTACTATAACAAAATTGCTATATTCGACTCCATTAGTAGCTAAGTCGATTAAAATGCGTCTGAATTGTGAAAATCTATAAATTGATGCAAACTTGATTTTTGTAAGAACTTTTGTGATTCTAACAGTTTGTGATATATTTTGCAGAAAGTGCATTCTTACAGAGAAAGGAAAAGAGCTCCAAGAAACAAGAAGTGACCGTGGTGATCATCTACTTGTGGATTCTTGAAGAGCAAGTTAACTGCATTTACAAAGGCTGATCAAATCTGCACATTGGGTGTTACTGAAAGATCATATGCTACAATCTTGTGAAGATTGGATTGAGGTTTCCCTGTTGTAATTATAGGAAGAAGAGCGTGCTGCGTTCTTGACTTTGAGGGTGACTCAAAGGGTTGGACTGCAGGAGTGCTGCTAGTCTGTTTTGTATAAGCCTATATTTTTTATTAGAGGGTTAGAGAGGTGTTTTATATTTTTGACGTAAGGTCGTTATAAAAACCTTGTTGTAAAAACCTTGATCATTATAGTGCAATGGCTTCCTGTGGTTGGAAGGACACTCGATGTAGGCTTGGCCGAACCAGTATAAAAACTCAACGCTTGATCTTTCTATCCCTGCATTATTTTATTCAGTCGACTGCATACTGCATTGAATCGATTATATTTCCGCTGCATAAACAAATCTTTTTCCTTGCGTTTTAAGAAAGCTTTTTAAAGGCATCCTCTTTGTAAAAAAGATTTAAAGAAAACATTATTTTTGTATTTCACCAATTCACCCCCCTCTTGGTGTGAGAAATTAAGCCATTCTATTTTCAACACATAACTTCGAATGGTGTGAATCCAGTCGAAGCGTTGACAGAAGTATTGAAACTCCATTTTACCCAAGATAAAAATATGCCCCACAGAGGCGGTTTGTGATGCACAAAACTACGGAGATATTGCTGCAATACTTTGTTGGTTACCTCTATTTGGCCATTCGTTTGAGGATGGTAAGTTGTTGACATACGCAGCTTGGTCCCCCTAAGACAGAAAAGTTCTTGCCAAAAGTGACAAATGAAGATGGGATCACAGTCAGAAATGAGGTTATGAGGGACACCATGATGCTTACACACTACGTCAACAAATAGTCGTGCCACCTGAGATGCAGAGAATGATTTTGGAAGCATACCAAAGTGCGTGCCCTTAGAGAACATGTCCACCCCAACGAGTATTGTATTGAACCCCTTATAAGGAGGAAGGCCAATAATAAAGTCAAGGGAGAGGTCTTTCCAGCAGGATATAGGTTGCACTCGACTTGATCAAATGGTAGAAAGTGAGAACTGAAAACAAAATTTTGACCTAAGCTTAAAACTTGAAGATTATCTGTGGAAAAAGACTTAACTTTGACTCCATAAACCAAAATTCATTATTTGCTATTGGTACTTCTAATAAACAAAATATACAAATAGAAGAAGAATATAAGTTGAATATAAGTTGGAGTTTTGATGGAAGTTTGCATTGATGATGTGTGGGAGAAAAGAAGAAAAGGAAGGTGAAGAAGAATAAAAAAATAATTTGTAAAAGTTAAAAAATATATATTTATTTTTAAAAAAATTAAAGAAATAAAAATTCAAAATATTAATAAATTACACCACGAAATCAAAAGTTAACATTAAATTACAAGATTAAAAGAACATTAAATTAAAAACTAAATAAATATTTATTTTCAAGAGTCATTAATAAATAATTTATAGTAATATATTGATTTTAATTAGTTGATAATATTTTATTATATCGTGTAATAAATTGAATATTTTTTAATATTTAATTAATAAATAATTGAATATGAAATTCAACTACTTTACAGAATTGATTGTGAGGATGTGATTGATGTAACCTTCACTGGCGGCTGGAAACGCCGTTCAGGACAAGTTTAAATAATATTTTATTCAGGTCAACTGATTCACAGTAAGATAAGATACTTCTGCACCATTTTCATACGAGATGAAATTCAATTCTTCCGCACCGGTACACAACTCTTACAATTATTATCTTATTTTTAATTAATTTATATTTACAATTATTATCTTAATATAATATTTTATTAATAGAGATAGTTATGAGTAGAGATGATGAGGGGGACAACAGACTCCCTACCCATTATTTGACGTGAAAAAAAAATCTATTTATTATATATTTTGTTATCTGTTTAAAAAATTACCGTAAATATTTTAAAATACCAAAAAATATTTAAAAAAATTAAATTTATAAATTTTGAATAAAATTAAAAAATATAATATAAATTTAGTTTAATTTTAGTTAGTTTTAATTAAAATATAAATTAATTTTTTTTATAAATATAAATATATTTGTCATATATTTTGTCATACATTTTATGGGGTGTTATGTATAAATATTTTTGTCATCTGATTTTTAAGGAAGATGTATTCAAAGTGGGTGGTGAAAAGATATTTTTCTTTTCATATATAGTCAAAAAATTCTACGATAAACTACTTATTCCCTCAACATCCGTGCCTCGTGTGCAGCTATTAACACAATGGCAATTCCACTACCTTCCACGCTTGTCATCATAGCCAGCCTATTTCTTCTCTCCCCAAAAATTTCCTCTGAAACCAACACCATCACTCAGCTTCAGCCACTTACCTATGGAACCAACTTGGTTTCTGAGGGAGGAACCTTCGAGTTAGGTTTCTTCATCCTAGGTACGTCAAAAAACCTCTACCTAGGAATATGGTTCAAAAACATCCCACAAAAAACCATTGTTTGGGTTGCCAACCGCAACAATCCAATCAATAACACCAGCAGCAACTCCACCGAGTTAACCATATCAAAAGAAGGAAACCTGGTTCTTCTCAGCAGCAACAACACCGTTCACTGGTCAACAAATGCAACAACAAAATCTAAATCGGTCAACGTCGTAGCACGGCTATTGGAAACCGGCAACTTAGTCGTTAGAGATGAAAACGACAACAATTTTGAAAACTACTTGTGGCAAAGCTTTGACTATCCTTCGGACACACTTTTACCAGGAATGAAGCTAGGATGGGAAGTAGCAACAGGTCTCAACAGATACATCACTTCTTGGAACAATTGGGAAGACCCATCTTCTGGTCATTTCTCTTATGGAGTTTCAAGACGAAACGTCCCAGACATGCAAATTTGGAACGGTTCATCAGTGATCTACCGAAGTGGCCCTTGGAGTGGGTTTCGATTCAGCGCCACACCGTTATTTAAGCGTCGTCCATTGGTTAATATCAACTTCGTTGATAATCCTAGGGAAAGTTATTACCAAGTTTTTCCGCGAAATAGTTCGATGATTCTGAGAACGGTGATTAACCAAACGGCTAACGCTCTTCTGCGTTTCATTTGGGAGGAAGAAAGTCAAAACTGGAAGCTTGATTTAGTTATCCCCAGAGACGGTTTTTGCGGCTATGACTACTGTGGCTCTTTCGGGTACTGTGCTTTGACGGGTAACACTTCAACTTGCGAGTGTTTACGAGGGTTTAAGCCAAGATCGGTGGAAAACTGGTGTGCAAAGATTTGGAATGAAGGGTGCGTGAATAGCAGTGAATCATGGAGGTGTCGGGTGAAGAACAAAGACGGGTTCGTTAAGGTTAGTAACATGAATATTCCCGACACTAAAACATCGTGGATGAATCGAAGTATGACAATTGATGAATGCAAGGCTAAGTGTTGGGCAAATTGTTCGTGCACGGCTTATGCTAATTCTGATATCACTGAAACTGGAAGTGGTTATAGCGGTTGCATCATCTGGTTCGGCGATCTGTTGGATTTGAGATTGCTTCCAGATGCAGGGCAAGATCTATATGTCAGATTGGATATCTCCACCATTGGTAAGCGATTTTATTTTTGTTTTCTCTTGGTTAAATAGAAATTACAATATGTTACAATTCATGAGAAATAACCTTAGCAATGAAGTATGTAAGCACACAAGATTCTATTTACTAGAAATCTGGAGTCAAGTTAAATAGATCTTATATTAAAAAATTATAAATCTTATATCTACTCACGATACAGAGGAATGATTATATAAATATAAAACAACTTTATCTTAGCAGGGTTTTTGTAATTACTATTTTCAGTTTTTGAGTCTTGATTAGTTTGTTAATTAATTTTCTTTTCAATTTCTTCAATTGTAATGTAAATAACCTCGATATTTTTTAGCTTTAGTCAAACTGTTTCTTTTTTTAAGAGCAAGTTGATCTAATGAAATATTTTAATAGAAACTTAATTGTTATAATTTTTCTTTCTTAAGATTTGGTAGCTGTGTTTTAAATTTCTTAATTATATATTTCTTTTATTATCATAAAAATATTGTAGATATATACAGATATGTTTGTACTGGTATAGATTATAAAATTACAGGCTATGATAGAATTTGGGTGTTTGTTCTTAAATACATGAAGTCAACTAAAATTAAACCCGAACAAAATTAAACGAAGAATCATTAATTATGTCTAATATTGCAAACGCTTTAAATATTACTTTTTTTTAAACTTAAAAAATTAACCTGAAACCCACTTCTAATTTAAATTTTAGCCTATACCATGTTCTTCATAATTTTTTATATTTATTTCAATTACAATGTCTATTTCTTTCATTTCTCTGTGAAGAAAATAAAGATTATTCAAAGAAAGTGGTGATCGGGGTCACAAGCTCAGTTTCATCGATTGTTGCGGTGCTTGTAATATTCACATTCCTTTACCGTAGAAGAAAAGGTAAATTTCTTTATCTGATTCGAATTTCATTATTATGTTTTTCTCTATTAGTTATGTCGTCAATGTAAAAATATTTGAAAAAAGCTTCACGTTTTATGTTTTGGTGGCATATTTATATATATGAAACATCACTTTTGCTGTATAGCGTGATAAATTTTCTACTTATTATTATCATAGATAAATCTGATAACTTATAAAAAAAAATCTATAATAATTTCTTAATCATTTAACAAATAACACGTTGAGACACAAAATTATGGTTTCTTTCATATTCAGATTTTCTCTTTATTTTGCAACATTATCTATTGAACAGTATACCCTTCAATTTATTTATTTTTCTAACTACAAAAGGGTAGACAATTTTCATAGGTATACATAGTTCAGTAAATTTAAAGAACATGTAACATCATATTGTATAAAGATTTTACGAATAATTGATGATACTTTACAAAGTTTATACAAAAAAAAAATCACATTTTTTATAGAGAATTTGACAAAAAAAACAATGTAACTTTTTTTAATAATGTAACTTCTTTTGAGATAAAGCACAGAAAAATACTTCTATTGTGATGCTAATACATTTCAAATGAAACAGATAAAAAAGTAAAGATAAACGGGAGTGAAGATGATCTAGAGCTACCTTTGTTCGATTTTGATACAATAGCATGTGCTACTAATGACTTCTCAGAGGACCACATGCTTGGCCAAGGTGGTTTTGGTCCTGTATACAAAGTATGCAACAATCTTCTTTACCATCAATAGTTAAGAAAATAGAACATAGTTTTACTTCTTTATATGCAATTTAACTTATTTGTCAATTTTTTAATTAAGGGGACATTATCGGATGGAAAGAATGTTGCAGTGAAAAGGCTCTCTGATACATCTGCACAAGGACTCAAGGAATTTAAAAATGAAGTTATATTTTGTTCTAAACTTCAACATCGGAATCTTGTCAAAGTTCTTGGATATTGCATTGAAGAACAAGAAAAATTACTCATTTATGAATACATGCCAAACAAAAGCTTAAACTTCTTTCTTTTTGGTCAGTGATTTTCCTAAACTTTTGACTCTCTTTTTCATTCATATATTTATTGATTAATTTAAGGTAGCAAAAATATCAATTACAGATCATTCTCAAAGCATACTCTTAGATTGGTCTACACGATTAAATATTATAACTGGAATTGCTCGAGGACTTCTTTATCTTCATCAAGATTCTAGATTAAGAATCATACACAGAGATTTAAAATCGAGCAATATCTTGTTAGATGATGATATGAATCCAAAGATTTCTGATTTTGGATTAGCAAGAGGAGGTAGAGGTGATCAGATTGAAGGGAATACAAGGAGAGTTGTGGGTACATAGTAAGTATTTTTTTTATTTAATGAGAAAGCTGATATTTATCATAAATCATATATCAAAATGATTTAATGTAATTTTTTTTTTCAGTGGTTATATGGCTCCTGAATATGCAATTGGTGGAGTATTCTCTGTTAAATCTGATGTTTATAGCTTTGGAGTTTTATTATTAGAGATTTTAAGTGGAAAGAAAAACAAAGGATTTTCCTACTCAATCCACAACTATAACCTTATTGAACATGTAAGTATTGAAAGTAACTTCAATTTATATATAATGAATTGGATTTTATTCATTGTTTTGCATTGTTGTAGGCATGGCGGTGTTGGAAAGAAAGCATCCCAATTGAATTCATCGATACTTGTTTAAGGGACTCATACATTCTATCTGAAGCCTTACGATGTATTCATATTGGTCTTTTATGCATACAACATCAACCTAATGATAGACCGAATATGACTACTGTAGTTACAATGTTAACGAGTGAAAGTACTTTACCACAACCCGAAAAACTTGTTTTCTTAATGCAAAGGGTTCTAGTTGAGGAAGATGTTGTACAAAATATGTATTGTCCAACAAATGAAGTTACAATTTCAGATGTGGAACCAAGATAAGAAATTGATCTTATTCTTATCTTAGACATCAATACCAATCATAAGGTTTTTGGTCACAAACCAAGGTTTATTGTATAACAAAATAAAATCTTGATACAAAGTTTCAATATTCATCTTCTCCTTTTATGTCTTTATCTTTTATAATAATAATAATAATAATAATAATAATAATAATAATAATTATTATTATTATTATTATTATTATTATAATATTAATACTTGTAATAATAATAATTATTATTATTATTATTATGATAATTATAATAACGGTAATTATTAATAATAATTATATATGCATTTTAGGTTCAATCAATATTTATTTTATATTTGTTATCTTTATTTGGACTTATTGTATCAAATTTCTTGATTTATAGTGTTGTTTTTATTATTATGTGATGGATGCATATTGCTTTAGGGTTACATAATAAACTCATGGACAATGAGTTTTGTGTATGCAATTGGACTCTAAAAGGGTTTGGGGAGAGAAAGTGTGGGGAGGGAAGAGAGAGAGAGGGAGGGAGATATTGGGTTTGAAGATGTAATTGGACTCTAAAAGAGTTAGAGGGGGAGAGAGAGAGAGAAAGTGTGCGGGAAGGGGAGAGAGAGAGGAAGGGAGGGGAGGAATAAATAAAATCTATAGATAGTCCACACATAACCTTGTGAGTGTGGTAAGGTGAAACTCGTTGGCAATGACTTTGCAAAGCAGTAGAGGCCACCACAAGTGCACAACTGATAACGGTTGAATTTACCGTTATTTGATACTTAATTTTTATACTAAAAACACCCTTTTTGACTTAGAAACTAGCTTAGAATCATAGTTTTGATGAATAAGAGAATTGAAGGTGAATTTAATGATTTTGTGCTAGATTTCCTTGTTTTCAACA